CCCTTTTTTGTGGACTTCTGACAAGTAAAGTTGATGGGGCACTCAGATTCACTTAACAGCTGTGTTACTAACTTAACAACTGCAATGATTCACTAAATAACTGTGGTGAGAAAGGTTATAAAATAGGGCAAAATTCGCTCAAAAAATGTCTCCCCTAGCAACAGGTACGTTGAGCTTCATTGTGGTTGTAAGTTGAGGACTACCTATATTATTCATTAAATCAAACTAATCTGACAAATGTAACAAGGAATACAACAAGAAGTAGACAATTTCAGAGATTTTACCATGAAAAATATTCCTGACACAGATACCATCAGTCGACTTAGTTTATCAGGAAAAGGTTGAAAAGGTTCAGGCTTTCCGGTTATAGGATTTACTCGCTCCACTTGAGAATATTTTGCTTCAAACTGGGGACGAAGTTCTTCCTGCAATTGTAAAGTTTTAGTTTAGTCTGGACATGTCTGTGTGTGGATATATGTCTCTCTGTACTGGGAATAGTGGACTATATGCATGTACATCCAAATTCTTGAGTTCTGTTGGCTGCAAAAACAAGCTAGCATTATAGAAACACATTCTAAGAAAATGATCCTGGCATGAAAATATAATATAGAAACTATTTATTTGTTTCTTTGCTTGCTTGTCAATCAAACTTGTATGCTGCTCATCTAGCCGAAGATGACTCTCTATATAAAAGTGATTGAAAGAACTTTATCATGTATCTCTATCTCTTTAAATGCTTAATTCAGTCAACATTCTATTATTATTCATGATCATTTGTCAGGCTGTAATCTTGTGTGTGTAATTATTTGAATGTGAGTGTATGTGTGTGTGTACACACACATACACACACGCATATTCAAATAATTAGGTATAAAAGAAATCAAGTTGAAGTATTAGCTGTCAAAGAGGAAGACATGTTGCAGGATACCTGTCACTCTTGAAAAACCAATGCATGCTGATATCAAAACTGCTATTATGAAGGATTCTTACCTCTTCATCTTCCCAGTCTATGAGGTCCCAGTCATAAGTAAGTACAGCTCGTCGTCTTTTCCAAAACTCTAAGAAGACTGTAGCTATAAAAAAAACACCATGAAATATATGTCAATATCTTATCACTGACATTGACAGTGTATTGGTTCACAATTCCAAATTCAAAAAATAATTCTGAGAAAATGGAATTATCTATTTTCTTGAATACTTTTGTAGCACAGGTTATTCAGTTTTCTAAGATATGTAACCAATATTGATGTAAGCTATGCCGAAACCTATATGGCATAAATTCCATATCTCCTTGAAAATGGTGAGGTATTATTAAATCCACAAATTCAATTTACTAAAGTAAAAGGAAGTTCTTGGAACTAGTTAAGAAATATTGCATATCTGCTTTAATGTGAAAATTCACAGTGATGGATTTTTCAGCTTTAAGTTGCAAATGTCATACTTTGAAAAACAACAACAACAAAAAGAGATGCTATATCTATAGACTTTCCACTAATCTAATGATAATCCCAGGGCTGGCTTTAGGCTAAGGCCAAAGACATACTGATTTGAGGCACCAAAACATAGGGGACATCAATACCACATCTCCTTCCAAATAGTTTTAAAAATACAAATCATCAACATCTGCAGAAGATGGTGCCCTAAGTCAATGTGGCTAAGGAGTACCACGTGTCCTTAAGTAGGCAATGCTTCGATGGCCACATTTTCAGTCTTACAAACATTGAAGAAAGGCAAGATGGTTGGAGACTGCACTGATAAGCTTTATCGTTTTATTTTTCCATAGCCACTGCTTCCATCTTAGCAGTGCTTGCAGAAGATTCCCACTGACCTTTGGTCGTCTTTTTCTGAACATCATTTTGGCTATGTTATATAATTCAAGTTTTTAATTTCTCACTCAAGAGCATTGTGCAGTGTTTACATGACAGGTTACCTGTCAGATCACTTTAAAGAAGAGAGCTTGCCCTTTTCAATGTGTCCTGGAATTTGTTATGGCATTTATAGTACAGAATTAAAAACATGTGGGTGGAGACTCTAACCATGGCAAATTTCCCGGTAAAAGAAACCTTAAAACTTCTGCCCCAGATATCTTGAATTCTTTATTGGAGGTTGATATAATAGGACAGAAATCCATCCATCCATCCATCTTAAATGGCTGTTCATTTCACTATAGGAACTCTGAGCAACTAACAGCTTTTAAACAACATTTAAACAAAAGCCAGCAGGGTTGGGGCCATTCTAATCTTGGGGAAGAAATTGTATTTCCCACTAAAATCTTAATTATAGCTTTTAATATAGCAGTTGAGGAATAGAATAGCAATGGCATTTTAGGTTTATGTACCACTCCACAGTTCTTTAGCACTCTCTGGGTTGTTTACAATGTAAGCATTACTTGCATATAGGCCCCAACAATGGTCCTCATTTTACTGACCTTGGAAGGCTAGAAGGCTGAGTCAACCTTGAGCCTTGTCATGGTCAAATACCAGGCTGTGAGCAGAGTATGCTTGCAGTACTGCACTTAATCACTGTGCCAACAGGGCTCTTACTATATACCTTCAGTTTTATCACTAATACCATACCTGCAAACGTGGTACTTAAAACATGGTTCAATATTTCATTTTGGCATTGTGATGCTTAGAAATGGATATCCATTTACTTAAAATATTACACATTGGAAAAGGCACAACTTCATAGAACTAGATCTACCTACTATCCTTTTTGTATTTTAATTTCAATCATTATGGAAGTCATTTTGATGCCATATTAGGTACATATTACCCGCAGTCATATTTTGAGATGATAATTATAGAAATTTAATACATAAAAATAAATAAGTAAAAGGAATCATGAATCATCATAATGAGACTTTGCAATATTCTTAATGTCGTATCGGCCGATACGCACAAAAGACGCGAGGCAGTGACTTGTGTTCAGCTCATTTATTTAAGATTTTAGAAAGTGACGCCGGCTGGGTATGCAGCGGCTTATATGGATCTTGCGCCGGGCACCGCGGCCAATGACAGCCGTTCGAATCGCCCGCGATCGGCTCGGCCAATCGCGGTCGATTCCGAACGGCCAATCAGTGCCACGCGCTCGACCAATCCGGTCGCTGCGCGCTCGTCCAATCAGGGCTGCAGGATTTCAAGAATGTAAATGTCCATACAGAACACTTAATTATACAGTTTTGGGAAAGACATGTATCCTGTTCTGGTGCAGAGTAGCTTGTCAGAGAAATTATCTGAAGTAGTCTATGAAGTATCCTTAAATACTTCAAGAATTTTAATCAAGAAGAAACCCAGCATATTTCAGTAACACCTGAGTAAGTTCCTTTCTCAAAACACTTAGAAAAAACATAACCTTTCCAAAGTGGATTTTTGACTATGCTGGTAGATAATCTGACACATTGAAAAGTCATCACATAAAGGAAAGGAAATAGAGTTATACCTTACAGGATATGTTTCTAAAAATGTAGAAATACTTGTCTATTTAGATCAGTGGTCCCCAAACTTGGAATCTTTAAGACTTGTGGACTTCAACTCCCAGAATTCTCCAGCTAGCATGCTGGCTGGAGAATTCTGGGAGTTGAAGTCCACAAGTCTTAAAGTTGCCAAGTTTGGAGACCTCTGATTTAGATTTATTCTATTGTAAAGATTAAAGTTAATATCATGAGAAGTACTGGTAGAAAGAATAGGCAAAAAGCAGATGTTCTGTCTTTTCTTCTTCATGAAACCCAACAATTGGTTGGGTTTATCCCATTGGTTAGAATGGGATACACCGTTCTACTTATAGAAGAGAATATTTGCAGTTTAGGGTTGAAGTGTTGGGGTTCTTGATACTCTCTGAGCTTGGTGCTTTTCTTGCAGAAGTTTTATTACCAAATAAGTTAACATTATCAGTGCTAAAAGAGAGGGGAGTTTGCCAGTGTCTACCAATGCCAGTATCTACCAATGCAAAAAACAAGCTAGTAGTAAACGATAACCAAGGACACTTTTATCAGTAACTGACAAGGCTAAGCTGCTAGTATATAAAAATAAGAGCAAACCCCACTCCCTTCTGGCTCTGAAGATGTTACCTTGTTTGATAATGAAGCTTCTGCAAGAAAACTACCAAGCTCTGAATAGGACTCCAGAGTTCTACCTATTAGAAAGAGCTTACCACCTGATCTGAGTGATCTTCTCCTTTCCTCCACTTCCCTGATAAGGCTCATCATTTAGAAGAGTTCTTGTCTATGAAGTGATACATTTTAGGAATTCAGAGAGTGCACAGGGCTGGAGAAAAGGAAAGGGTTGTTCTTCAAAAAGCTTTCTCTCTTTGATTAGTAGGCTGCATATATAATTTGTCATTTAGCCTCATGTCAATCCTTGATACATGATAGACAAGAAGAGTAAAATGACATACAGAGCAGATTTCTTTGTCTTTTTTTTTAATTACACAAAAAAATCGGTTCCCTTTTTAGTCTGCAATATTTAGATATAAAGTTTAATGGCAATGTTGCTTCAAGCTGAAACAGATTGAAACACAGTGGGTTGTGGCTAAAACAGTGACAGTTCTTTAATCAAATATTTTGGAATTTATTTTTTAAAACTTTTTGAAAGATAGTCAATTAAAATAACAGCAGCAGCAACATTTGGATCTTCAGCTCAAAATGCTAACCAATAAAAGTGTATATTACAAAATCAGCAGAATCATTGCTAAATATATATATATATATATATATCTCCCTCTCTCCCCCCCCCATCTCCTTCCTTCTCTCTCCTTCCCCCTCTCTCTTTCATGTTTGAAAGTATTTTTCTCATAGAACATATTGCACATCATGCATCAATGGGGAAGTATCAAAATTACCCATCCCCTTAATTTCAATAGTTTCACATTCTATGAATGGTATGTCTTCACAATGACTGCCAAGAAGCAGTCATTCTGGTTCCCAGGTGCTCTGTTACACCCAGAGAAATAGAGCCCCACCTAATTTAATTTCTACTCTGCATTCCTGTCCACTACAGCATTGATACATTTCCATTACTCGCCTTCTCTTCATTTCAGCAGACGGCTTAGCTAATTGCACTCCAGTTTAGAAGCAAATAATTTCAGCACTTCTGTAACATTGTTTAGTTGAAAAGGTAAGAGGTTTTCTTTTCATGTCTTTCACGCAGCAATTTCACTTGCAGTCACCTTTTGTAAGTGTGCTTGGTGAAAAACTTCTGTTTGTGTCAGCTAGGTCATGTCCAGTTCAGTTAAATGATCTGGCACATTTCTGGATGGTTTTTAAAGAAATGCAAAACTAGCATGTTTAACTGATATTGTGTTTATAACTCCTTTGTGTGTTCATTGTTAGAAAGTCTACTTTTGTGAAACTCTTGCTGAGGTAGCACAGTATTACTTTAAATGCTAATTTATTTTCATTACATGTACCTAGAGGACTACTCCAACAATCTTTTTACTGGATGGCAACATTCTGGCTGGGTAATTTTTTTTTATTACCATGCCTATCAACTTCAAAGCTTAGATGTCATCATTTGCAGTTTCACACTTTTTCATAACAATGTAAAAATATGTGCAAATATATACACACATTTCTCCAGTGGAAATAATAGAGTGTTTTTTAAAAAAATTTTTTTTGACAATCAACACTAACAATAAAAAGGAAAAAAGAGAGATGATAACCAGAAGTTTACATGCATTGTTCATTATATTTTAGTCCTTTTAACTTCCATGCATATAAGGTATTGAACTTTAAAGTTATCTACTTTAAAAATAAGACTATATTTAATTGTAAAATTTTAATACAAGCTAGATTCTCTTTTTATACAGTGTGAAAGAAAAAAAACATTAACTGATAAGTATGTGTGTTCCTACTTCATGGCAATGAAAACAAAGACATGTAGATTATCTTTTGAAGAAATTGTTCCAACTCTTGTAACAATTATGAGACTTACCAAAGTCTAAGTGTGACTCTAGTCTGGAAGTGGTACATGGGCTTTTTTTACTTGGATTAATTCTTGGTGACTTGAATTATATATTTTTGAAACTGAGAATAAGAGGTTTCATTCCTTGTTATTTTTATTTATTTTTTTCAATTAGTTTCCTGTTGCACATATTTATTATGGCAGTCCCTCTGAAGGGAAAGAGGAGTAATAGTCTAATCTGATGATCTTTGAGATCTGGGTTTAGCATCTCATAGCCAAATCAAGACTGAGAATTTACAAACAGATGACTGGATTTAAAGACACCAGTTGCTAAAGTCATAGCCACAGAAACTCATGCATCCCATTAGGCTACCACAATTTACTTCATGTGAGGTTGTCTTTGAACCCTATTTGGAAACTGCCATTGATGCAGAATGCAGTTGCCCGCTTTTAGGGCTATAGTAAGATAATGCTATAGTAAGGTAATGCTTGCATAGTGGTGACCTCAATGACTTAGCTCCCAGAAACTGTCCAGGTAGAACTAATCCATCCTACATGCTCATCTCAGTTGAGGACATTTGTTATTCCCCACATGAGACAGATGACAACCGTAAGGCCTTTAGACAATGATTTATGTAACGGCTCCCACTTTGAGAAATAGCTTTCTCCCAAAGTTCAGACTGGCACTGACTCTGAAGTCATTCCATAAGCCTGCCTGAGATGGAACTTTCTTCAGGTCATTGATGATTAATGTCATGTTGCTATGGTGTGTGTGTGTGTGTGTCAGGTTTTGTGTGTGTGCATGTGTGTGTATATAACACTTTTAGAGGAAAATAAATTTATTTTATTATTTATAAATTTATAGGCTGCCCATTTTACCTCAGGGTAACTCTGGGCAGCTTGTTTTTTTAATACATAAACTTCATTTTATACTGCTAGTTGCTTTCATGTACCAAGGAAAGATTTGGGCAAAATTCAAAAATGTGTTTTGAATATGTTAATATTAAATGACAAAACATAAAAAGTTACATTAATTTTTTAATCTTTCTGTTTGTGATTTTATTGCTATAAGCTATGGCTAATAGCTACAGAATATGACAAATAATTTTATCATTCAGGCTGTGAATTGTCACCCAGATTAAGCACATTAATTGTATATTGAACAATTTCACTTATGGGGAAAAATAACTAAAATGATTTGAGTCAATTAACTAGAATAATAGTTACATTTGGAATAGAACTAGCTAGATAAAATACACATTAAAAGTAACAGTAACATATGATTAGTTTTTAATTTATCTGGCTAGAGTGACAAAATAATTACAAGCCAGTAAAATGAGACCTTTTGTAAATCTAGTCTGATTGCATTCACAAAAATAGTCTGTGATGTATTAAACATATGCTGAAAATAGGACTGGATATAAATGGAAGTACAACATACATCTCATGTTAGGCTGAGAAATTATTCACAATTCAAAAAAAAATCTGATTGTTTTCATTTCATTTTTGCTTAAGTCCATATCAGAAAGCAAAAGCAGTGAAATGAGGGTGACAGAAATTAATTTTTAGTTAATGTATAATGGCAAAAGTAAAAAAAAAATGTAGAAAATATGGAGAAATACAGGATTATCTACCAACCCAAAAAAGAGTAATGGTGGATTTTTAATCTTGTTCATAAATTTGTTCAGGTAACATGAAAAAAATATTTTGAAGAGTAAAGACGTGAGAGAAAAATAGTCACAGTATTCAAATTAAGATGGGGACTAAAATTTAATAAAGAATAAATTGGTTACAGATGCTACCTTCTTGTAGCACACAGATTTATATGAAATGATGGTGAATTATAAAACATAACATACAAAAGATGATAAATATATTCTGGCTTCTGTGTGCTGGAAGTATACTGCATATACACTTTTGATCTTGCTGCATTAAACAAAAACACTAAAGGATGATAGAAATATTTGAGAGAATTGACATATGCTACAGTTCATGTAAAAATAATGTAAAATGGATTAAGATGATTAGATGCATCCCTATCAGGATCTCGTTAAATTGGGTTAGATTGCTTCCAAATATAATCACAGATTGCAGTAAACCTGACCTATTAGGAGATTGTTGTAAGTATATTAATAGAAAGGGATCTGGGAGTGTAATTTTAGCATTTCTTATCAATGGGGTTCATGTGCATGTCTTTGGTTTATATTAAATGGAAGCACCTCTGCCTCTGTCCCTGGCTATGAAACAGGCCTCTGCCTCTGTCCCTGGCTATGAAATTAGTCATATACCCCTTTCCCCTCAACTATAGTTTTCTGAAAGCAGGTGACACTAAATACATAAACATGTTAACATTCTACATAACAATGGAACAGACCTTCCCTAGGATATCAGGAAATTTGACCTGGATACTATGTTTTTAATCTCAATAACACAGATCCTTAATGTATGCAAAGCATAGAAGAAAATATTAGTTTCCAATGTATGGAAAAATGTATAAACAATTCACATTTACAAGTGAAACTTTTCATTACTGATTTACTGAAATTTCCTGTCCCATTCAGGATATCAGCAGAAGAATAGGAAGATATTCTCTGTGAATATATTAAATTTCATCAATAACTCAAATGAATTTTTAAACATGTTCCCTTAGGCACTGTATACCAAGAAACAAATATCAAGGCTGTGAAAGAATGCCAACAACTGAGGGCACATTGTTCATTTTGCTGCTGATTAGTCTTCAGTTGGCCAGAAATTACAGTAAAGATGCAATGAATCCCACATCTTCAAGAAGCAGTGTAAGCAGCACTCCTGTGAGTCCAACTATATTTAATGTGACCTCTGATAGAATGTCTACAGAACCAGGACATATCAGTGCTAATCCAAATTACAGTACTGTAACAGAAAGCAATACTTCAAGCAACAAGACCATCTCAACCCTGACTCCAACATCAACTCTTCACAGTTTATTATTACCAACAACACATCCACTAACTTTTACTACAAAAGATGTAAAGCATAGGATATCCTCTTCGGGGACACCTGCAAATACTTCTAGAAGTTATGAAGCCACGACTTATTTCAAGTCATTTGAAACTGAATCAAACAGTGTCATCACAACCATTCCTAATATCAGTTTCACAACCATGGTTTTCCATAACACAACTCAAGCGGATGGTTTAACATTTCCTTCCAATAAAAATTTATCAAGTACAATAGGTATGTTGCTAACTACCAAGAATAGTGCTGTTACAACTGAATTATCAACAACAGCAAATCTACATCCCAAAGCAACTGATAATTCTACAGAAGCAAGAGAAGCACCGAAAGGTAAGCAAATTAACTGTCCTTAATTAATGTCACCACCCAATGCTATGAATTATGCAATTGTACTGCATGTACAGTAGACAGCTTATTACTGTTGCCATTTGACTTTAAAAGCAATTCTTAGAAAAAGCACTGTTTATATTGTAGAAAACAAATATTATAAAGGAATCTAATTGATAAATATATTATCTTAAGTAATCCTGTTCTTAATTTAATCAAAATTATGAATGAATCAATAAAGATGTTCTTACCAAAATTTCAACACATTGAGCATCGTTGTAATAGAATGGAACAAGTCTGTACTACTCTTCTAAAAACAAATAGATTCATTTTTTGTTGGGTGAGTGAAAATTATTTATTTGTTAATCAAATTTATATCCATCCATCTCATGAAAATTGACTCTGGTTGGTATATAACTGTAGTTTTTGTGTAGACTTGTCCAAAGCATTCTAAGAAAGATTTCATTTTTCTTAGGTGAGAATTATTTTTCTGTCAAATTTTTAAACTATTTTTTTTGTTATTCAGAGCATCGTCAAAGGGATAGTGACATTTTATTTTACTAGCATGTATATTTTTACCGAACTAATTAGATGGATTGAAGTTTACCTTATCCCATATTTAAGCATTTTTCCTTTGCCTCATTAAACATAATTAAGTGGCAACTTTTGGACAGAATCTTCAGGCCATATCTAAGACTCTGCTCACAGCACATGGCTTGAATCTTTGAAAAGCCATAGGCTATGCAATTCAGATTTAAATTAGTAATTATGCCAAAATGATTCACAAAGACCTTCCTTTAGGCTTCTCTTTTTCTTCCCTCTTTCCCCAGTAACAGACACTTTGCAATCACTCAACAGTTTTTCTGGTAGTCCTTGACTTACAACCATTTGTTTAGCAATTGTTTAAAATTATAATGGTGCTGAAAAAAGTGACTTATGATTGCTCCTTGCACTTATGACCATTGCAGTGTCCTAACCATCACTGATAATGATTCAAATGCTTAAAAACCAGTAGGCATGTATGTAGGTTGCAGCATGCTTTGGGTCTATTATCTCCATTTGCCACCTTTCCAGCTGGTTTCTGACAACCACAGTCAATGGGGAAGCCAGCAGGAGTTGCAACTCATGGTGACATGATGTCTCTCTAATTTTTTTTGTCTGTTAATAACCCCATAATCCCTTGCATCGGGATGGAGTTGGGGCAATTGAATGGAGCTGAGTTTTTACTGGCCGGATGCCCTTTCTGTCGCCAATGCAAAGTTCACGACTGATATTTACTCACTGTGCCCAGAGAAAGAAATATCTGCCACTATTTAGGATCGAACTCACAGCCTCCTGATTATGAGGCGAGAGCTCCACCTCTAGCCACTGCACCACTCATGATGTCTCCCTAAATGACAGTGAAAAAAAGGTTGTAAAACTGGCTGCATTCATTGATGCCTCATTTAATGACCACACTACTCAATAACTAATTTTACAGTCCCAACTGAGATTGTAAATTGAGGACTACCTTACTTAATATAGTATTGGAGGAATCCAAACAAAATACAGAATTGAGTTCTTGGGTTTTTTCCATGCGGCTTCAACTCCAGGGAAGAGTGTGGGTTGCTAAAGAGATGACTGTAGAAAGAAAGCTAGAACATTCATACCTAGTCCTCAGCCACCTGGTATGATATTCCCCCTTAACATAAACTTTTCCACATTATCTTTGCCTCTGGATTTTTTAAAGGGAAAAATATATCCTTTTCATTAAATAACCAAAGAAAATGCAGGAGTAAATGTTTAGGACAAGCATTCATTTAAACCTTTATCTGTATCTATTCCTGAAAAGTTCTTAATTAAACAAAACAAAACAAAACAAATTTTCATTAGTACCAGGTGTTGTTTTCATGAAGATGATTATGTTTATCTGTTTTCCAGAAAGTCATACTCATGGAGGGGTAATATTTGGAATAATTGTAGGAGCAATGTTAGGATCTGCATTGATTGGCCTGGTTGGATATTTAATCTGTGGTAAAAGAAAACCTGAATCGTTTGGACATCAGCGACTTTATGATGACACAAGAAATGATCCAGGTAATAATCCAGCTCAAGAAATAGAGTCATAAGAGTCAAATAGATTTTGTGGTTTGAAAATATGGTTTTGAGATGTGTCATTTTAAAACAGGGGTGTCAAACTCAAGGCCGTGGGCTGGATGTGACTGCAGAGTCCTTAAATCTGACCTAGAAATAGCCTGTGGTTCCCCTAGCAGCCAAAATGAGGTGTGGGGAGGGCCCGCACATGGCTCCTCCATGCCCCATTTTGGCTGGCAGGGTGCTGCAGGAGTTGTCTGTCCCATCTCCCCCCCCCCCCCCCCCCCCCCCGTTCTCCTGTGGAGAACTAAAATGCTGATCCGGTTCTCAAAGGAATCCAGTTTGACACCCCTGTTTTAAAGGATATGTTTTAGAAAGAGAAGGAAAGGAAGTTATGCAATATCTACATGTTCAGTTCCTCTTCTTCTTTATGCCAGCTAAAATAAGGTGACCAACTTTTTTACAATGGAAAGGAGGACACAAATAAATTGAAGAAAAAAAAAAGCCACTTGTGCACAGCACACTCTTTCATACGGTGCACTCTTGCATGTGGCACACTCTCAAAACAATTCTCCTGTGTGAAGCGTATGCATCTCATAATTGCATCTCGCCACACTGTACCAAGCCTTGATGAATCATCACGTCAAATACAAATATGTCACATCACACATAATGGATCGGCTTGGCATCAATCAAATAAGGAGATTTACAGATTAGTCTTCAAATATCGAAAAGGAGGACATGTAGGAAGACACTTTTTGAGAGAGGACAGAAGTTACAAAAGGAGGACTGTCCTCCCTAAAGGAGGATGGTTAGTCACCTTAGCTAAAACCATTTTGCTTTAGGGTTCATCAATACTTCTTGGTGGTTCTATTTCCAAAATGTGACAGTAATATATTTAGAGGGTAGAAATAGATGTCGGTTGTTACTTCTCTCATATTGCAAATTCAACCTTTGACCTGTGGCTTGAAAACAGTCTTTTTACTCTCATTTCACCTTGAATACTCCTGCTCATTTGGATAGCGGCACTTTGTAATGGATTATTTTTCTAACTTTTCTTGGCAAAGAACTTCAGTCTGTGCTAGTATGAGGTGGATTACCATGCAGAGCAATTTTATTGGGGATCTGAAGGAAGAAAGATAGTTGGCACTCTTTGGGTGACAGACAGAGAGGAAGGGATAATGATTTTATTTAATTTGGTAATGAAACTTTTGCAAGAAAACAATCAAGCTCAGAAAGAACCAAGGACTTGGGGATGGCTTCCTGTCCAATTGTGAGGTGCTTACTGATGGGAATCCTGTTGATAGGGGTTTCCAGCTGGCAAATGAGGATATACGGGTGGTCCAACTGTTAGACTCTTTATTTACAGAGTTGAGGGGATCTCCTGAGTTGTCTGCAGAAGCAGTATCAGGGATTTCCTGTGGGCTAGATGCATATGATGTATGTGGTGGCTCTGATGGTGGAACCAGGTGAGCTGAATGAGAAAGGTTGGAGTTGATGGGATTGTGGACAGGTAGGAATATTAAAGTTGAGATGAGCAGAGGGAAATATGGTAGAAGAAAGAGGTCAGGTTATTCTTGGGGAAGACAGATTTGAAGTATCATACCAAGTCAGCTCTTCAGCCATTTGAACTCATCCCAAATGTGAAGTCATTGGTTTGAAGACCTTGATTTCTAGTTGCTGCTGGGAAATGACAGGTGTGCCTGCAATAAGGCTTCTCTCTACAGTTTTATCATGAATGAAAGGGCATATCTGGTGGGCTTCTTTCCAAACTTCCTACTTCTCCTGTGCTTAGTTTTTAAGTAGGTGCAGTACCGCATATTTTTTTTTTTTTTGCAATTGAGAGATGGACATCTATATGAATGAATGAATTAATTAATTATTTAATGAGTATAAAATTCCAAGTCACCTGAGACAGAAGCATTTCCTAAAAGATATCTTTATACATTGGAGGTATCCACATAATTGCATGTATATATTGAACTTAATGTATTGTATATTGTTATATGCTGAACTCATGACTAAAAGAACTTACATGATGTCTTTAACATTCTGTCCAAAGACGTATTGTTAAAAACATGTGTAAATATTGTCAATGTGTCTTTTGCAGTTCTACGGCTAGATGCTATACCTGAACCTTTCAACCCAAACTTTGGAGAGCTATCCTACTTCAATCCCATGGTAGCCAATGAGAACCCTGTCCAGAACCACAAAGAAACATACAATGCAATCCCAATGGATGACATGATATCATCACAGCCTTCAGCAGAAATGCATAAAGCCAGATGTTAGAATTAAAAACATATAGATCTTGTTCCTTCTTGTGGCTCCTATAACACTTGAATGTGTATAAGAAGTAATGATTGCAGGTCATGTCATACTCTTTTTACCATTCCTTTGTGTATGTGAGTGCATGTATATATGCTAACCCATTAGAAGAAATGCTGGCAGTCTCACAACAATGATTTCTTGATCTTGATCTGAAGTATCCTTTCTTTGCTTTTGAACTTTTTCTGCTTGATAATATCTCCCAAATATATGCTAATGTCCATTGAAAACATGACATTGGACAAAAGAGATTTTTCACCCTTTTAACGAACAGCAATTTTTCAATTCAGGCTTTAAATGAAATTAGACTAGTATCACAATATTAGTGATAATATACAGTCTAGTAAATCCCCTTTGTCCTTCCAAATACTAATTCTAATGACATTCAGAGTTGAGCACATTCTTCAAGGAACTGATTGTTTAATACTGAGCAGGTAAATTATTTTCATGGCATTGCTTAAATTCAGCAGCCAAAGTAATACATTTTGGCAATGTTGCTCTCTCCATTTTTTAAAAAAGTGGTTTTTTTGCTCATAAATCATAATCAAGTTTCTGGAGTGTTCTCTTTCTATACTTTGCTCCAATTGGGAAAAAATAAGCTTACAATTTCATATCTGCCCATTCTAGCGTCATCACCAGACCACCCTCCAGCTTTTCTGGAAAAAGAAAGGAAAAAGAGGAAAAGCTGCCCTTCCCGGATTTAGGAGGAAAGTAATTTTGTTATATAACAGGTCTTTTTTTAAATCATAGCAAACCACCCTAATTTTATTTTATATTATCTAAAAAATAAATTACCGAATAATCTAATTATTATTGGTAGGTCAATTTAGAATCAGTAGCCATGTTCACCAAAGTGATGTTTCTTAAATATGCTGGAATTATAACTGCCCAACTTTCCAAACTTCAGGTTATTTGGGAATCCAAGGAACTGGAGCTCCATCTGTAGCACATCAAGCTGGCAATAAAAGGAAGTTAACAGAATAATGGAGTTTGAAGGGACCTTGGAGATCTTCTAGTGCTTAAACAGGAAACCTTATACCATTTCAGACAAATGGTTGTCCAATCTCATCTTAAACCTGCAGTGTTGGTATACCCACAACTTCTGGAGGCAACTCATTCCATTGTTTGATTGTTCTATTGGGAAATTTCCATAGTTCTAGGATGGTTCTCCCCTTAATTAGTTTTTACCCATTGCTTCTTGTCCTACCTTCAGGTGCTTTGGAAAATAGGCTGACTCCCTCTTTGTGACAACCCCTTAGATATTGGAACACTGCTATCATATCACCACCTAATTCTTCTTTTCATTAACTGGACATATCCAATACCTGCAACTGTTCCCCATCTCTTTTAGCCTCCAGTCCCCTAATAATCTTTGTTCTTCTTCTATGCACCCTTTCTAGAGTCGCAATGTTCTTTTATTTTATGGTGACCCAAACTCCAAAACTGGGTGCAATATTCCAAATGTGATCTTTCTAAGGCATTATAAAGCAATAATTCACATGATCTTGATTATATCCATCTTTTAATGCAGCCCAGTTGTTATAATGCAGCCTGAGATATAAACCATATGCTTACTTAATCATGCAGAAGAATAATCAACTTCAAAGCTTTTAATTATTTTTTTGTAGATAAACTAATATAACCTCAAAGGGAAGCCAGGCTAATGTACCTGATTTGTATTTCAATAGAATAAATTTGCTTCTCTTGGGCCTTTAGAACAGCATTCAGCAATACCACAACACATGTACTGTTGCATCATGCATCAGGATGGAAGTATCTAAGGATAGGTTTGTATCATATGTCACTGTGGTTTTGCCTTTTAGTGGCTTGCCCTGGTTTCTGTCATTATGTACTATTGCCTGAAGCTTTGGTTTTGCTGTTCAAAACATTTGCACTAAAATACAGCCAACAGTTTTTGCTGGACACAAGCTGTGCTGCGGGTCTATTTTCAGTCACATTTTAGCATATCAGGATTGTTTCAAACTGCTTCAAACTGAAAGCATTTTCTGGCTAAAGGTAATTTTGTCAAAAAGATGGCACTTGAACATCTTCAAGCAAAAAAGGCATATACTCAACATGCTCTAAAAACTGCTGTCTTTCTAGTATCTTAAAATAGTGTGTCCATTTGCTTTCTTGTCCTGTTGTTTCACCATCATTTTAAGGCTTCCATGTCTTTAGAACATAAGCCAAATTAATAAAAGGGCTACATAGAAAATGTAATGAGAACAAGCTGCCACTTTAAAAAAAAATATCTCTCAGAATTGATCTTACCTAAAGGGAAGAAAAGGGGATTATATTCCAAGTTACCAAACCAAGATTATTTATGCATATTATTTTGCCACACCACACTAATAGTTTCAATTTTGCTTTTGTCAAGAATCAATCTTGGTTCATAACATCAAAGTGGGTGGGAATCCAAATGTTCACAGGAAGCCATACTGGATAATTAGAGGTAAGGAGGAAAGATAAAATGCATTTTGATACTCTTTCAGATGCAGATACTAATGGTGAAAGATTCCATTTGCCCTGCATTAGTTACTCTAGGTTGAAACAACATCATTATCTTCTGCTATTTCTAGTCTCCAGTGGAGGTAAAATGTATTAGAATTGATATTATAGCAATTGACAATTCATTTTCTGTTTCCATATCAATTCACTTGTTTCAATTTCATCAAAATTATACTTGTAATTTATAATTGTATGTAAATTATAAATTTGAATAGAAAATATTTTTCCTTTAGAAAGGCCAGGTGTGTACAGTTAAGGTGCTCGACCAGAAGAGCCCGAATATTAGGAATTGGAAAAGTTCAACTTTAGGAATTGAAGACAGCTGGGTGATTTTTGGCCAGTCACTCTCTTTCAGCCCAAACTATTTCACAGGGTGGTTGTTATGGGGAAGATGAAAGCTGGGAGGATTATATACCCTGTCTTGAATTGTACAAAATAAAGTTGGTTTAGAAATCAAATCCAGAAAAAAAATACATACATTTTAAAGCCATATAACTAAAATCAAGCATGTCACTTGCATTTACACTAGTTTCCAGACTTGAAAAAAATGAATTCTCTCTATGAGTCATATAAAATTGAAACAAAGCAGAGGATTTTACGTAAATGCACACCACAATAGCAATAACAGCAGTAATACTTAAATAGAGATAGATCTGTAAGAATAGCCACATCTTTTTAACTCTTGCAAAACATGTAATTTGGATCAAAAGCTTCTTTTTACTATATTGGGAGATATATTATTTTTATACCATAAGAAACAGAGGTGATATTCTACCGGTTTGGACTGGTTTGAGCCGAACCAGTATTTGAACCAATAGGCTGACCCCACCCACCCACCCTGCACCACCCCTCCCAGGAGTGTCCAAGCAGCCCATTTTCGATCGAGGTAAGTGCAGGGTCCATGCAGAGGCTCTCGGAGGGGGGGAAAATAGGCCTTCCAGAATTCCAAAAATGGGCCTGTTTCCAGCTTCCGGTGGGTCTCCAGAATCTGGGGGATGTCATTTTTGCCCTCCCAGAGGCCCAGAGGAGGACTCTGGACCCTTGGGAGGGCAAAAAACAGCCCTCCCAGAAGTACCAGAAGTCTGGAAATGGGCCTGTTTCCAGCTTCCGGTGGGACTCCAGAGCCCAGGGGAGGCAGTTTTTGCCCTTCCAGAGGCAAAACTCTCTGGACCCTTGGGAGGGAGAAAACGGCCTCCCGTGCTCTGGAGGCCCAACGGAAGCTATAAACAGGAAGTTCCAGTAGACCATGCCCACATGGCCGTGCCCACCCAGCAACTGGGCAGCAAACTGGTTGCTGGGATTTTTGAATCCCACCCCTGCACAAAAACTAGTCCAGATGGTGTCTCCTATTACTAGCAAGATCATTATATTGTTGCTCTTTTTCATACAAGCACATTGATAACCTCTGGAATGAAAAGGATAGCAAGCTTTATTACATAAGATGAGGTATGTGTTTAGGCTGGCAAGCTTAATCTGTTCACCAGGTTAGATTGTTTAATCTATTTTACAAGGTTGAGGTGAAGATCAATTGCATAACCTCATGCATTGTAAGTGCCTTTTGATGGAAGGACAAAATACCAATATTTATTTATTGTATTATAATTGTCTTCCTGGCCAAAATGAAGCTAAAGTCCACAACACAACTATAATTAACCCTAATTCAAAACAAACACAAACATACACACACTCCTAATCAAATTTCTTGATTTTAGAAACAATGAAAGGTCAAACTGCTGCCTAAATAATAAATATTGGGTTTGCAAGTAGAACAAAAGCCAGGAGGTGAAACTAGCTCAACCTCTTTTGTAAATAATTGCAAAAGCTGGGAATAGCCACAGAGAAACCTTCCCTACAGGTTCAGCAATTGTGCATGTGAGAAAAAGATGCTCTTCTGAAAGCCCCAAAGCCAAGGGAGGTTCATACAGAAAAATGGTTCTACAAATGTGAAAAATAAATACATTGTTTACTAAGCATGTCACATAGTAAAGTAAGTGTCTGTATCTTGTGACTCAATTTTCATTTATTTTTCTTATACTGACATAGCATTTTTTTTAAAGCATCTTGGATAAAACAGGAAGATTTGTGGAAGTTGCATGAAAAAAAATCAGGGAAGAATAGACAAATTTATTATTCTCTCAAGCCATGTTCTAGTAGTTATTTAGTTCCCCACAGATATTTTTCAAGACAAGGCAGAAAATCTGGAAGGGACAGCCTGATTGCCTCTTCTCTGCACAAATTTGGATTATTATCTGGACAGTGATTGTCTTATTCTTGTTCTTTGTTTACTACATGCATATAGAGCATGTCAAGTAATAGCAAGACTCTCTTGGTGCGTACACACGCGCGCGCACACACACACACATTTTAGTACGTAAGTGGGACAGTTGGGAGGACTAAGCACATAAGATGGTGATGCACATAAAAATGGAAGAAATTTAATGATATTGTTGTGACCACTATTCTGAATTTATTTGACCATATCCTGTGGACACCAATAGTTAGAGATGCCAAGAATCAGTGATTGGAATGAAAGTATTGATCGGGAAAGAGCATGCAGGCTAAATGCAAGATAAAGAAGAAGTGATAAGAACTCAAAAACACAAATATTTTAATTTAGTTTTATAGTATCTTACAGAAGATTGTCCTTGCAAAGGTTTACTGGCTGCTGGATGTTTATTTTAAACGTTTTAATTGAAGTCCCCAATCCTGCAGATTTCACTTGCTTTTGCTATGCATATAATCTTGGTAAACACTGCCCTCTTTAATAATTGTTTGAAATTAGGACAGTGCTGAAAATTTTTTTTACAACTGGTCTTCAAACTTACGTCCATTGCAGATTCCTCTGTGGTCACATGATTATGATTTGGCCACTTTGCATTCAGTGTGTATTTATGGCTGTTGCAGCATCCTGAGGTCATGTGAGCTTGACATTTTTGCAAGCTTCCCAAAAAATCAAAAATCAATGGAGAAACCAACAGTGAGATTGCAAATCAAGGTCATGTGATGTCTCACTCAACAACCATTGATAATTCACTTGGCAACCATAGTGGGACTGACATTGCAAGACTTTTGTGGCCATGTGATGTTTTGCTTAATGACCATATCACTTAATAATGGTGTTGCCAATCCTAATTGTGGTTAAATGAAGACTACTTGTATCATCACAAAGCCAGTTTCTCTTGCACTTTTAAATGTGTGCTTCTCATTTCAAAGAAGATTCCATGTAGTATCCATAAAAAGTTCAACATTTCAACAGTTCCATAGTTACAATTGCCTCCTTTCCCCACAAAATACACAAATAAATCTTTCTGAAAAAATTTTCCTCTAAATTTTTTTTAGTCATCTATCTGTTTTTCATATGATTTATATGCTCATCATCCACCAGTGTCAGCAATCAGACAGAACCGTCAGGGACTGACTTCATCTTTTGATACACAACTTTTCTCATACAGAATACAGATATTTTTCTAAATGCAAATTACCTACCTAAAAAAGTTAATTGCTGTTAATTGAATCAAATTTCAGTAGCATATTTTGTTTTATACATGCATTTTCTGCAGATATTTTTCTTAGAGGAAAGTTATATGCTAGGAACCAGTGCTATTCTTTGTGCTGCTGCAAAATTCATTAAAACGGAATATCCAAATTTGCTTCAAAGAATACATATGGCAGAATTTCCTTTACATTTTACTCTCCTTCATCCCTAATTTTAGAAAATAGATTCCAGACATGTCAAGTAAAGGTACCCCATAAAGTCATATGTTTCAAATGCCTGCCAATAGTTTTAAAATATAATTTTCCATATTACATTTTACTTCAACTATTAAGTCCACTGACTATATAGTGTTTTCTGTTATTTTACATTATTAATATTAAACAGTAATGACTTACCCCATATAGCCATAAAAATGGCAAAGAAGACAGTTCCTCCATTATCAAATAAGTATGTAACCTTAGGAGGAAAAAAATAAAGGAAATTATGCAAATTATTAATGAAACTACTCAAAATGTTAAGAAAGCCAAAAAGGTGAAACTAATTAGAGCTCCAGCCTCAGATATACAAACATGATATAACTACTTTGAATTTAAAAAAAAAAACATTTTTCCTTCTCTGCTTGCTTGTGCAAATTATTATCATAAATACAAAGCAATTTTCAAGGTATACAGTACACAGAATCTATTATGCAGAACATCAGACCAAGTAATTTGTTCTGGAACAATTTTTGAAGCAAAATTATGGAACTTTGTGGGAAAAATGGGGCCATTAATTTCAAATATCAAGAATATAATCATTGAAATTAATTTTAAAGAAGCAGTTCCCCATTTCAGACCACATTTGTTTGCTCCTTGATATGTATGGCTCTCCCTACTTCCCATAGACCAACTCAATCTAACAGTAAAACAGGAACAATTACAACAGCTTAAGCACACTTCAATTATTATAAATTAGTTCCATCAGAAAAGACTGGCTGCAAAGCAAGGTCTTGATTCCTTTCCAGAAAACAGAGAGAATGGGACAAAGCACAGCTCTCAAGGGAGTAAATTGTAGCTTCCAAGCAATAAATAAAAACAACTAAATGCATAAAAGGCCTTCTTCATATGCCAAGTAATCAACTTTGAAAAATAAAGGCATATTTTACAGAACCTCTCCAGCTGTGTGTGGTTACTGTTATTAGAGAGAGGCAGGGTGATATTGTGGTTGTATAAG